GATTCTATGAGTCTATGATTCTATGATTAGCTTTAGCATGAGAGGAAAGATCTGGGGAGCAGACCTTCCAAAGCTCCGAGGTACTGGGGAGCGTATGTGCCTTTGCAGCTGAGCATGGCCATGCGGAAGCGAGCACCGTGTCTGAGGGTGGTCAGTGGAGCACTCCTGTGGCTCCAACAGCAGAGAGGACCCAACTACATGATATCGAGTGAGTGTGGACAACCTTTTGTGTAACTTAGTAGGAAGCTTACAGTCTCTGCATCCCAGTTTGCCTCCTGGCAGCGCTCAGCTAGTCCTTCTCTACCTACCTTACCCACTCCCTTTCTGCCCTGTGATGAGTTTTGCCTGAGGGCTCCGTGCTCCCTGCAGAGACCAAATGCCACCAAATGAGCAAAGGCAGCCGAAGCATTGCCACTGGGGGCACAGCCAGAGCTTGGCTGTTCATTCGGGGTCTGTAAGGACTCCTGGCCTGGGTGACAATCACAGGTCCCCTCTTCCCTCTCCTGGCTAGCCATGACAGTGCATCAGCAGGGCAGATCTGCAGAAGAGCAGGGTTTTGTACATCAGCAACAGCACGGCTGCCTCGAGCTATGGTTGCTGGGACAGACCTTTAGTTACATGTCTCTCCGTGTGACAGCCTGACCCTGACATTTCTTTGAGTGGGGTCTTCTTGTCATTGTGGGTGACAGCAGCATCCTCTTGCCTGACAGTATTGCCCCAGATGGTCAAGCTGTGTATAGCCCCCGTTACACAGGCCTTGCTGGCACTGGCGGGTAAGCATAGATGGCTGAGCCTGCCAAACAGGGTGTGTTTTATTTGTCTGGAATACCATGAGCAGACAAAGAAGGGTTAAAATAACAGAAAGTTGAAAACCCATTATCTCCGGGAACTGTGATCTTTCCTTTTTGGGTGGGCGGATTCCGCGGGACCCTGTCCCCCCAGATAGTGGAAAGGTCACCCTCCCATACCTGATTGCCCCACAGCTTTCCCTGGCAGCCTGTCCAAACAAGGCTGTTTTCCTTCCAAGCCCTTTTCCTTCCTTCCCTTCCCCTGGACTTGTCTCCTTGCACAGAGCTGGCTCCGGCCCCAGGTGGTGCCGGGGGCCCAGAGCCCAGGTGAGCTGTAACCAGAGATGCTGGGTTACTGCAAGCCAGAAGCCCACTTAGCTGAGAGCTGCAAATGAGAGGCTCAGGCATTCC